TCCCACTCCTTTTGGTTCAGATCTGGTTCAGTTTATGGTTCAAGATTGATCCTTGAAAATATGATTTTCTAAATGGGGAATACGATTCCCAGTTGAAGGGAGAGATAAAATTTTTGAAATTCGCCCCTTATTCCGCAATCTTTGGGCGTCCATAGGATGGATCTCTCATCCCTTCACATACTTCTGATTCACTTCCTCGGAAGTTGGAGTTACCTATCTTTGATGGGGAAAATCTTGACGGCTGGATTTTTCGCACGGAGTGCTATTTTGAGATTAATGGCTTGCTTCCAGCAGAGCGTCTGCGAGCTGCAGTTGTCTGTTTAGAGGGCGATGCATTGGCGTGGTATTACTGGGAAGATGGTCGGCGACCTTTTCGTGGTTGGGCAGAATTCAAAGAGCTTCTCCTTGAACGTTTTCGATCGACTCAGGAGGGGAATTTACAGGAGCAGCTCTTCTCGTTACATCAGTCTTCTACTGTTAAGGAATATTGTCGCCAATTCGAGGTGCTCTCCGCTCTCTTACGAGACCTGCCGGTAATCAGTCCAAATAAGAGCAAGTGTTTTGGGCTGATAGAAAACTCTAGTTATCGGGATGAATCAGAGTCCCGATGTAGGGATTACAATGGGCACTTGGCAACACTGACATCAGCCAAGGAACTAAGTTTTGCTGGAAAACTCTGCACTAATACAACAAGAGGCTGCTAGGTTGGAGGAAGAGGCTTCAATTCTACAGGTGGTTTTAGTTGGAAATGGTCTGACAATGCAACACATTGGAATGAGTCCATCTCCCCTGGGGCACCATTTCACTCCAATTGCTCCAATTCATCATGCAAAGGCATTAATCWAATCAATACCTGTACATCGGTGACTAATGGCCARCCAACCCTTGTGGGTGAGAGATGCAACAACTCTCATGAGTTCATTTGTATGCTTGATATAGAGAACAAATGCTACCACCTGCGCCGCCACAAGGAGTATCTTATCATCCTTGCAACTGTTAGTGGGATGATCCTTTGCACAACTTTGGT